TGATAATTTTAATTGATTTTAATTGTATGACGTATGATAAAAATTAATTGAAATTGATTTTTCGGTAGGCCTGGTAAAATTAATAATAATTTAAACTCAAGTCAATTAAATTCAGAGATAATTTCTGAAGACAGGCAGTGGCAAATCGATCAATCTATTCTAAAGACTTGGACATGCGCTAGATTTCTCTTTGAAACTATCGATAATCCATTCATTATTGATATGTTTAAAACATTAAATGGTGAATATAATCCTCCATCCTAATTTACTTTTTCTGAGCATATTCTTGATGAAGAGATTGCTAAAGTTGAAAAAGCAATCGATAATGAATTAGAATCTGAAAAAAATCTAACATTAAGTACGTATATGGTTTTTTTTTTTTTTTAATTTTAAATATTAATCAAAAATTTATAATTATTAAATTTTTAGCACTTGACGAATGGACTACTCCATTGGGTTTATCATTTTACAATTATATTATTACAACTCCTAATTGTAGAGAATATTTGCTGCAAATTAAAGATTATTCTATGCAATCTACAACTGGCGATTTTTTAGGCGAGGAAATAAATAATGTTTTAAATGAAATTGGAGTTGAAAAGTTCGCTACTGTCATTACAGATCACGGTTCTAACATAAGGCGGGCAAGACAACTAATTAATGAAAAATTTAATTTCATATTAGATATATGCTGTGGCGCACATGCGATTAATTTAATTGCATCAGATTTTTTAAAAACAAATGAAATCAAAAATCTTATTAAACAATGCAGGATAGTAGTAAACTTTTTTCACTATTCATCAATGGCAAATGAGCTTTTAAAAAATGGATTAGCTATGATGAATATAGGAGGTGGCAAACTTAAAACCTATTGCAAAACTAGATAGGGATCATTGTATGAAACTGTAGATTCTTTAATTCGTGCTCAACCAGTATTCGAATAGGTACAAATAAACTTATTAATTTTTTTTTTTTTTTTTTTTTTTTTTAACACGAATTCGTATACAACTTTATTAAATTTCATTACTAGATTATTAATAATTATGCATCGGTGATTTCTAATAAAGTTGTCTTTAATTTAATTCAAAACCACAAATTTTTTAATCAATGCTGTTATATATCTGCGATACTAAAGCCTATTAAAGATATGATAAATTAGTTGAAAAGTTAGCATTCAACAATTGCAGATTGCTATATGATATTAATTAAGGTAGCAGCTGCAATAAATCGACTTTCTGATTCTAATTTATTCAAATCAAAAGCTATTAAAGTATACAACTCAAGATTTAATGAATTTGCGATACCGTTGTATCAACTAGCATATTACCTACATCCATTATATCAAGATAAAATATGCAATATTTTTTTTTATTTATTTAAATGTTAATAAATAATTTTATTTAGGAATAGGATTAAAACAGAGTCAATTTTATGAAATCTGTGAAGCAGCAGCGATGATGTGGCAAAACCTTGGTTATGATGAAGCCTTGTGTGAAGATTTGTTGACAGAACTATACACTTATAAACGGAAAGAAAAACCATATACACAAATATTTAAAAAGGAAAGAGAATCTCTGTTAAAGTGGTGATTTAGCATCGATACACAGAAAAATGCATTGGTAGAACTTGCAATTAAATTTTTTTTGATACCACCTTCTCAGGCTGTGTGTGAATGCAATTTTCGATGCTTAAATGTATATTTGGAGATCGACGAACAAGACTTAACGTTTTACGTTTAGAGGCAATTGCTAAGATTCATGCATTTTGCTATACAAATATTAAGGAGAAATTAATTTTTTATAGTAAAGAATTATCCGAACGTGATTTGTGAGATAGTGTAAATGGATTGACAGTTAATACCAGTCACATAGAGTTTAACAAAGAATTATTTGAGCCGATTTCTGAATCTTGTGATTTATAATTAGAACAATCAGATAATATAGATAGTACAAATGCTGACAAGTTATTAATTAAGAAAATTGTTGACCTTTCAAGTCCAGCATTTATTGGCAATAATAGTTCATTTTTTGAACAAAATATGATAACAAATAATGTTATACAACAAATGGGTTCAGGAAATACTAATTATAATCCTGCAAGTATAGTGGCTCAGGTTTTTAGTAAAAAGAATGATTTGGATATATAAAAAATATTTTATGTATAATGTACATGTACTTTGTTGAATATGAATTGTAATAAATGCATATAAATAAAAATTATAGCTCAAAATGGTAGTGCTTTGATAAATATGTATTTATTGTATTGATTATTTTATTCGCTAGTTACGAAATAAAAAAAATCAGGTTACGACAGTTACAACACAAAAATTAGGTTACAACTATAACGCCATACAATAATTATCCAGTACATACGCAAAATATAATTTGCCGTATTTTAAAATGGCAAGTTATAACTAGTTATAACTTAGTTACGACACGGCACGTTCTGATGCCTTGAGTTTCGCCTGCACCTCTAGTTGTAACTATAATAAGTAGTATAGTAAGTTACGGCATTATACGTAGCCGTAACTTACTATATTTATTTTGCTATAGTTACGGCAAGTTATGGCAATGTGACGCAATGTGACGACTATCATTGGGACGATTCTACCGCATCATTAATCTCGATCCCCATTTACTTCTTTATCTATTTCGCAAGCAACTCAACAAATAATATTTAAAGATTCTCTATAATGGTTTAATTTTAACTTTATTAAATATAAAGTTAAAATTTTTCTTAGCCGTTAATATAGTTTTTTTTTTAAATCGTAAAAAATGTCAATATAAACTTTAAATTATTGTAATAACTACCCGGGTTGTTATTAAAGAGTAATATCCCGTCTGTGTTTAAAAATTATAATAATACTTTCTCGTTATATTTGTACGCATAATAAAAAAATCGGGTATTTGTAATAAAAATACCCCGTGATCTTGATATAGTGATCGGGGTATTTTTACTTAATACCCCGTGATCTTGATAAAGTGATCGGGGTATTATAAGTAAAAACCTTCTGACTTAACCCTAATGTGAAAAAATTTGAGTTAAAACTTTTATTTATGAAAACATACTTAGAAAATCTAAAAAACATAATGAAAACAATATAATAACAAATAGCTTAGTATGTTTAGATTTGTTGCGTATCTACGTATAAGTACTGGTTGAATCTAAGTGATATAAGTATACAGTACTCTAACGATTCGTATTTATATTATTATTTAAATGGATAACGTTGAAGAAATAGCGATTGTGATATATTCGAGACTTTTTCGGTCCAGGGTCTAGTATATAGGTATGTGCTTACATTGCAAAAAGAAGAATAAACATTTTGCATTTATAATAAGCAGTTTATATATTTTAAACTGTTGCTCACTTTCCTGAAGCACACCTTCCCCTGTAATTCAGAAATCCCTTTTTCTCAACAAGATCCACTTTCGACAACTTAGTTCACGACAGTTTATTTCACTGATAGTTTATTTTCACCGACAGTCATTTCACAGAAAAGTAATTCTGGTCATTGTCGGTGGGTCAGTTTGGAATTAGAGAATTTTAAAAAAAACTTGGTGAAATGAGCTGTCGGTGAAGTAATAATTGTCGGTGAAATAAACTTCTCGGTGAATTGACTGTCGGTAAAATGACACGGACTCAATTATATCCTGTTAGTAAATCGGTGAAATGGTATTTCGGCTTCGTGAAGTTAACCCGGAACCATTTTAAAACGGTATCGTTAAATCATACTAGTAAAAATGTTCAGCAACCCCAAAAAAACTACCTCAACTTCAGTTTTAGCTCTCATAAATTCTGGGACAAATTAAAATTTTACTCGTTACCTGAAATCTTTCGTAAATTACCTAACTTTCCGGAAACTACATCGCTGTCTCCGGACTGAAAGTTCGAAGATAGCGATGTAGTTTTCCGGAGAGTAGATAATTTGCAGGATGAAACCGAAAGATTTCGGGTAAGAACAAATTTTTAATTTGTCCCAGAATTTATGAGAACAGCTGGTCTCTATCATTTTCCCGACAATACTTTCTCGACAAACAAAAATTGCTAATCTAATCCGAGTTAATTTGACATTGTCGGGGAAGGATCCGTTAATTATTAGTCTATATCTTCTAATTTTATCTTAATTTTTGACTCTAACCTAATTATTGACAACAAAATCATAATAAAAAATTATATGGTTTCAATGCCAGTGGTGCGATTTATAATTATTGTTTTTTAAAAAATCCACATTAATTAAGGAAAATTCTGTGATTCGTATGTGGGTCTAATTAATATGCTACGTATTACTTTGCAGTAAATCATTAATTAAATAATTAATTACTGCAAATCAAAGATTTAGATTATGCTACCAATCATGACCTAAACTATTACTAATAAAAACATCATTATTATTATGAAACTTAGCGCGAAACATCTGAATCGCGAAACACCGGGAATTATTGTCAATAAGTTATTTTAAAGTTATTTTAAAGTTATTCTAAAGTCGAACCGTAATTAGTCGAATGTTAATCTATTCACATGATACATTTCACATGATTATAGAAATGTTCCAGTCCCTGGGGC